GAGTTTATTGGTACATTTTAGGTACACAGTACAGTTACATTCATTGTTGGGATCTTGTACCTTTACATGACAGGACTTGGTTCTCATTTTTTCCCCTTGTCCCTGCTCTCCCTTCACCCCCTCCTCCCCTCCCCATGTACAAACACTTTATTTCTATCTTTTCAATATCTCACATTTTTTTCTTTTTCAAGAATCACTTTAAATCCATCTCTTCTACAGAGCCATGTCTCGTTCCTCCAATCTGTGCGGACCCACTCTTCTCTGAATTACTGCTTTGTTCATTCTTGTACCACACAGGAAAGCACTGAATTGCTTCACTAATGTTTCTTATTCTCGATCTTGTCTCCTTTGCTACTGTTTAAACACCGTGAAAGCAAATGGTGATGTCTTATATGCCTCTTTGCATTTTTCATTGTTTTTATCAGTCCAGTTTACTATACACAGCGATTGCATTCACCATGGCAACCATTGTTTTTTAATGGTATGAAGTATGTAAAGCCTGTCATCTTCTAAACTATACTTTAATATTTCTTCAGGTTTCAATTGAAAAGCTTTCTTTCTTCTTATCCAATCACTTGAAGGACTGAAGTTTTTGGTAATGGCTGGTATAATTTTAATCTGAAATAAAAAATAAAAATAAGTCCTTTATTAATTTGAGTTGTGAGAACCTGTGCCTCAGAGACTTCCAAGGAAACATAAACAGAATAAATCCTTTTACAAGCATTAGATACTACATAACAGAGTAAAGTGATATAGAACAGTACAGAAGTCTTTGTTCATATTTGAAAGGCTTTATTTACCTTCCTTTAGAAGTCTTAGTCACTCTAAAAATGTTATCGTGTCTCTCCAACTCACATTCTGTTCACTATTGTTTGACAGCTCACTGTTTTTCAACTACTCTTGTATACTACATGTGGATTATTTGAGGAACATTGAGCGTCAAATTAAAATTCCTAATTCTCTTGTTTGGTAAATAAAAGGAACTTCTATACCACAATTTGGATAAGTAATATTTAAGATTCTATTTCATATCCACTAAACATTGGCCATGTTAATGCCATATTGATTAAAATTCAACTGAAGGATTGAATTTTCTCCTGGGCACCACGTTTTGAAAGAGACAGACAAATTGGAGAGAGTTCAGAGGGGAACAACAAAAATGATCAAAGGTTTGGAAAATCAATCCTGTGAGGAAAGGTTAAGAGAATCAGGCCTGCTCTGCTTAGAGAAGAGAGGACTGAAAAGGGTTGTAATAACTCTCCAAAACACATAAAAGGATGTTTTCAGGAGGAAAGGGACCAATTATCCTCATTAGTCAACAAGGACAGGACCAGGAGTAATGGGACTTAAACTGCAGCAAAGGAAGATGAAAAAAAGATTAAATATTACAAAAACTTTCATTTCAAGGCTAGGACTAATGCTTTTTCTAAGTTAGGGGTAAAGAAGTCAGTCCTGCTGTGGTAGTAGGGGGCATATCAGAAAATTACTAGAGGAAACCTAGGCAACTCAACAATTCTTTTAAAAATGCAGGAAAGTTTTGATGTTATTTTTAATATACATATGATGTTCACTACTCCAGCCCAATGAGACATTGTCACCATAAGCCACGCACGTACATGCAGACACATACACATTGAGATCACAAATGAAGAAAGACAATGCATTACCCATTCCAGCACTGTCTTGTTTTATATCATTAACACATAAAAATATGTTTTAATTTAAAATGATATATTAGTGTGCCTTTCGCCCCTGGGTTAAATATAATAATAAGATTAAAACTGGTGAGACTTATAGACATTTAAGTATAGAAAAGTCAACAATAACGTAGTATGATAGTGAAGGAAATACAATAGATCTGAAAGTGATCAACATTTATCATGTGTGATTTGTTTGTTTTTGCTAGTGGGGATCGAACTCGGGTCTTTGGGCTTGCAAGTCAGGCTCCAGAACCACAGAGCTAAATCCCCAGCCCTGTGATTTGTGTTTACTGCTTGTCATGTCACTGCCATTTTCCTAACTCCCTACTTCCCTGAAAAGGTAAGAATGATCTTGCTTGAGTGCTTTACCCACATTATTTTCTATCTTTGTATAACTCTGCTTGTAAATTTCCAGTTCTCCTTTTGTTCTCTTCCTTTGACTTGTAATTATCAACAGCCTGCTGCTGCAGGATTTGACTAGGAACTAGGCTGGTGCTTTTTGCCTGCAGTTCTGGGTTTGAACCCAGGGCTTCACACATGCTAGGCGGGTACCCTACCTCTCGATACCCCCCACCCCATTTTCATTCAATCACTCAGTCAGCAAATACTTAGTGAAGGCTTCTAACTCCTTGTCACTACGATTAAACAATCAGAGAAGAGCTGGGGACAGATATGTTTCATCCCTGCCCTCATAGAGAGTATAGTTTGACACAAACCAACATGTAAAATCTGTGATGTGTATTGGGAGGGCAAGTAAAGGATGTGTAGGAGCTCACAGCAGGACTGCCTATTCTGCCTTACAAAGGTGATGGCATGCACAATACTATTAGAAGCCAGCAGCAGAATTCAGAGGAAGGAAAGAGACAAGTATTTGTCTTATATGCCTCTTTGCATTTTTCATTGTTTTTATCAGTCCAGTTTACTATACACAGCGATTGCATTCACCATGGCAACCATTGTTTTTTAATGGTATGAAGTATGTAAAGCCTGTCATCTTCTAAACTATACTTTAATATTTCTTCAGGTTTCAATTGAAAAGCTTTCTTTCTTCTTATCCAATCACTTGAAGGACTGAAGTTTTTGGTAATGGCTGGTATAATTTTAATCTGAAATAAAAAATAAAAATAAGTCCTTTATTAATTTGAGTTGTGAGAACCTGTGCCTCAGAGACTTCCAAGGAAACATAAACAGAATAAATCCTTTTACAAGCATTAGATACTACATAACAGAGTAAAGTGATATAGAACAGTACAGAAGTCTTTGTTCATATTTGAAAGGCTTTATTTACCTTCCTTTAGAAGTCTTAGTCACTCTAAAAATGTTATCGTGTCTCTCCAACTCACATTCTGTTCACTATTGTTTGACAGCTCACTGTTTTTCAACTACTCTTGTATACTACATGTGGATTATTTGAGGAACATTGAGCGTCAAATTAAAATTCCTAATTCTCTTGTTTGGTAAATAAAAGGAACTTCTATACCACAATTTGGATAAGTACTATTTAAGATTCTATTTCATATCCACTAAACATTGGCCATGTTAATGCCATATTGATTAAAATTCAACTGAAGGATTGAATTTTCTCCTGGGCACCACGTTTTGAAAGAGACAGACAAATTGGAGAGAGTTCAGAGGGGAACAACAAAAATGATCAAAGGTTTGGAAAATCAATCCTGTGAGGAAAGGTTAAGAGAATCAGGCCTGCTCTGCTTAGAGAAGAGAGGACTGAAAAGGGTTGTAATAACTCTCCAAAACACATAAAAGGATGTTTTCAGGAGGAAAGGGACCAATTATCCTCATTAGTCAACAAGGACAGGACCAGGAGTAATGGGACTTAAACTGCAGCAAAGGAAGATGAAAAAAAGATTAAATATTACAAAAACTTTCATTTCAAGGCTAGGACTAATGCTTTTTCTAAGTTAGGGGTAAAGAAGTCAGTCCTGCTGTGGTAGTAGGGGGCATATCAGAAAATTACTAGAGGAAACCTAGGCAACTCAACAATTCTTTTAAAAATGCAGGAAAGTTTTGATGTTATTTTTAATATACATATGATGTTCACTACTCCAGCCCAATGAGACATTTTCACCATAAGCCACGCACGTACATGCAGACACATACACATTGAGATCACGAATGAAGAAAGACAATGCATTATCCATTCCAGCACTGTCTTGTTTTATATCATTAACACATAAAAATATGTTTCAATTTAAACTTATATATTAATGTGCCTTTCGCCCCTGGGTTAAATATAATAATAAGATTAAAACTGGTGAGACTTATAGACATTTAAGTATAGAAAAGTCAAGAATAACGCAGTATGATAGTGAAGGAAATACAATAGATCTGAAAGTGATCAACATTTATCATGTGTGATTTGTTTGTTTTTGCTAGTGGGGATCGAACTCGGGTCTTTGGGCTTGCAAGTCAGGCTCTGGAACCACAGAGCTAAATCCCCAGCCCTGTGATTTGTGTTTACTGCTTGCCATGTCACTGCCATTTTCCTAACTCCCTACTTCCCTGAAAAGGTAAGAATGATCTTGCTTGAGTGCTTTACCCACATTATTTTCTATCTTTGTATAACTCTGCTTGTAAATTTCCAGTTCTCCTTTTATTCTCTTCCTTCAACGTGTAATTATCAACAGCCTGCTGCTGCAGGATTTGACTAGGAACTAGGCTGGTGCTTTTTGCCTGCAGTTCTGGGTTTGAACCCAGGGCTTCATCCATGCTAGGCGGGTACCCTACCTCTCGATACCCCCCACCCCATTTTCATTCAATCACTCAGTCAGCAAATGCTTAGTGAAGGCTCCTAACTCCTTGTCACTACGATTAAACACTCAGAGAAGAGCTGGGGACAGATACGTTAGTCCCTGCCCTCATAGAGAGTATAGTTTGACACAAACCAACATGTAAAATCTGTGATGTGTATTGGGAGGGCAAGTAAAGGATGTGTAGGAGCTCACAGCAGGACTGCCTATTCTGCCTTACAAAGGTGATGGCATGCACAATACTATTCGAAGCCAGCAGCAGAATTCAGAGGAAGGAAAGAGACAAGTATTTCAGGTATTGGGAATAGCACGTGCAAAGTTTTAGAAAGAAGCTAGCAAGCAACAGTGTTGGTGCATTTAGATATTTTATGAAACTGGCTCACCAAGCCCTTCTAAACAATATGATGAGGCAGTAGCTGATTCTACATACCTTTAAAGCCTGTCATCTTCTAAACTATACTTTAATATTTCTTCAGGTTTCAATTGAAAAGCTTTCTTTCTTCTTATCCAATCACTTGAAGGACTGAAGTTTTTGGTAATGGCTGGTATAATTTTAATCTGAAATAAAAAATAAAAATAAGTCCTTTATTAATTTGAGTTGTGAGAACCTGTGCCTCAGAGACTTCCAAGGAAACATAAACAGAATAAATCCTTTTACAAGCATTAGATACTACATAACAGAGTAAAGTGATATAGAACAGTACAGAAGTCTTTGTTCATATTTGAAAGGCTTTATTTACCTTCCTTTAGAAGTCTTAGTCACTCTAAAAATGTTATCGTGTCTCTCCAACTCACATTCTGTTCACTATTGTTTGACAGCTCACTGTTTTTCAACTACTCTTGTATACTACATGTGGATTATTTGAGGAACATTGAGCGTCAAATTAAAATTCCTAATTCTCTTGTTTGGTAAATAAAAGGAACTTCTATACCACAATTTGGATAAGTAATATTTAAGATTCTATTTCATATCCACTAAACATTGGCCATGTTAATGCCATATTGATTAAAATTCAACTGAAGGATTGAATTTTCTCCTGGGCACCACGTTTTGAAAGAGACAGACAAATTGGAGAGAGTTCAGAGGGGAACAACAAAAATGATCAAAGGTTTGGAAAATCAGCCCTGTGAGGAAAGGTTAAGAGAATCAGGCCTGCTCTGCTTAGAGAAGAGAGGACTGAAAAGGGTTGTAATAACTCTCCAAAACACATAAAAGGATGTTTTCAGGAGGAAAGGGACCAATTATCCTCATTAGTCAACAAGGACAGGACCAGGAGTAATGGGACTTAAACTGCAGCAAAGGAAGATGAAAAAAAGATTAAATATTACAAAAACTTTCATTTCAAGGCTAGGACTAATGCTTTTTCTAAGTTAGGGGTAAAGAAGTCAGTCCTGCTGTGGTAGTAGGGGGCATATCAGAAAATTACTAGAGGAAACCTAGGCAACTCAACAATTCTTTTAAAAATGCAGGAAAGTTTTGATGTTATTTTTAATATACATATGATGTTCACTACTCCAGCCCAATGAGACATTTTCACCATAAGCCACGCACGTACATGCAGACACATACACATTGAGATCACGAATGAAGAAAGACAATGCATTATCCATTCCAGCACTGTCTTGTTTTATATCATTAACACATAAAAATATGTTTCAATTTAAACTTATATATTAATGTGCCTTTCGCCCCTGGGTTAAATATAATAATAAGATTAAAACTGGTGAGACTTATAGACATTTAAGTATAGAAAAGTCAAGAATAACGCAGTATGATAGTGAAGGAAATACAATAGATCTGAAAGTGATCAACATTTATCATGTGTGATTTGTTTGTTTTTGCTAGTGGGGATCGAACTCGGGTCTTTGGGCTTGCAAGTCAGGCTCTGGAACCACAGAGCTAAATCCCCAGCCCTGTGATTTGTGTTTACTGCTTGTCATGTCACTGCCATTTTCCTAACTCCCTACTTCCCTGAAAAGGTAAGAATGATCTTGCTTGAGTGCTTTACCCACATTATTTTCTATCTTTGTATAACTCTGCTTGTAAATTTCCAGTTCTCCTTTTGTTCTCTTCCTTTGACTTGTAATTATCAACAGCCTGCTGCTGCAGGATTTGACTAGGAACTAGGCTGGTGCTTTTTGCCTGCAGTTCTGGGTTTGAACCCAGGGCTTCATCCATGCTAGGCGGGTACCCTACCTCTCGATACCCCCCACCCCATTTTCATTCAATCACTCAGTCAGCAAATGCTTAGTGAAGGCTCCTAACTCCTTGTCACTACGATTAAACACTCAGAGAAGAGCTGGGGACAGATACGTTAGTCCCTGCCCTCATAGAGAGTATAGTTTGACACAAACCAACATGTAAAATCTGTGATGTGTATTGGGAGGGCAAGTAAAGGATGTGTAGGAGCTCACAGCAGGACTGCCTATTCTGCCTTACAAAGGTGATGGCATGCACAATACTATTAGAAGCCAGCAGCAGAATTCAGAGGAAGGAAAGAGACAAGTATTTCAGGTATTGGGAATAGCACGTGCAAAGTTTTAGAAAGAAGCTAGCAAGCAACAGTGTTGGTGAATTTAGATATTTTATGAAACTGGCTCACCAAGCCCTTCTAAACAATATGATCAGGCAGTAGCTGATTCTACATACCCTCTTGCATTTGTATGCAGTCCCACTGATACTGCTAAGGTCAGACATCTGTGAAGGTCAGTGGTCATTCATTTCAAGTAGTTTAGAAAAGAAAGTGAAGTGATAAATTTAAAATCAAGATTTTAGCCAGAGCAAGTGTTCGGACCAAGAGAAGACAACAGAAACTCTAAGAAAACTTAGCATATTTTAGGGTGGCTGCTGGATCCTGCAGAAATTGGATAGATATTTGAGCCTTTTCTATGGACACTGAAGGAAAGCAACATTAAACTAGAAAGAAAGACTTGGGGACATTTAAATTATCTATAACATTGTTCATTTTCAAGCTGACAGTGATTGTGTGATAAACCGTTATTTTAATAATAGCATTTTGGAAATTGAAAATAATTTCTACATTAAAATAGGGAAATGAGCTGTCTTTTTTTTTTTTTTTTTTTTTTTTGGTACCAGGGGAGATTGAACTCAGGACCTTGTGCTTGCAGCGCAGATGAGATACCACTGAGCTACATTCCTGGCCCTGATCTGTCTTGAACAGTTGTGCTCTACAGCCATGGGTTCCAAATCTGTACATTCAATCAATCATAGATAAAAAATACGGTGGAAAATCTTACATTGTTGCTACATTTAGTTAGGCCTGAATACAATTTGCATCTGTACTGAACATGTGCAGTTCTATCACTTTTCTCTAAATACAGATAGCAGCTAATTGTATATCAGTTACACTGTACATATAATTTATATGTATGGATGATTTTAAGTGTATGGGATGATGTACATCAGTTTTATGCACATACTACACCATACTACATAAGGGACAATGGCATCTGTGTATGGATTTTGGTATCCGCTGAGGCATCTAGGAACTAATGCCTCACAGGATATCAGGAGACAACTGTATTTGGATTTGGTTTATAAAGTAAAATTTTACTACATCCATTGCTATGAGACTGTCCTTTGGAAAACGATCTTATATTCATTCTTTGGGTAAAAACTTGGTTTCTAGAAACAAAAATAATCATTTGGCCCTAGTTTATTTCACAGTCAAAAAGTAGCAAGGCTCGCTAATTCTCAAAGAGGCTTGACAAAAATATTTTTACATTGTTGACATAAAGGATAGCATCTTGACATGTCGACTTGGAGTCAGCGCTTTTGGATCTATGCATTTTGCTATTCCTCACTCAAGAGCTTTGTATTTAAACTGAGATTATTAAATCTCCCCTGAAGCAAGAGGAATTTTGCTTTTCAGAAGATCATGAAAGGATGCTCCCTGGATAACAACTGAGTGGTTACTGGCCACCGCTTCATCATTCTGAAGTCCCATGCATTCCTCTGCCTGTAGATCTAATAGTGACCGAGCGAGAAACATTCGCCCACTCAGTTATAGGAAGAGTGGTGCGAAGAAACCTCAGCACACTGGAACCACTTAGGCAGTGATTCTCCAGCTGTAGATATTCTTTTTTGTTTTCTTTTTTTTTCTTTTTTTGGTACCGGGGATTGAACTCGGGTCCTTGTGCTTGCAAGGCAGGCCACCGAAATGTGGAGCTAAATTCCCCGCCTGCTGTAGATATTCTTAACACCAATGAAAACTATGCCTTTGAGTAGCTTTGCTTTGAACTAATAGAATATTCAGTGACCACTCAAGTGGGATGTGAATATACAGCAGAAAACATTAAAATATTCTTAGCATCTTCTAAGATGCATTACAGATTTCTCCATTTAATTATAATATTTTATAACTTTCCTTGCTGTGAAAATAAGTAGTATTAGGTATAAACCCACAGCTTGCACAGAGCCACATTGGCCTTGAGCTTGCAATCATCCTGCCTCAGCCTCCCAAATAGCTGCGACCGCAGGCATGTACCACTACACTCAGCTTGTCAGTTTTTAATTTAATGATGAATTTATTCTAAATTTAATCCATAACACTGAAAACAAGTTTATTGATTGTAATTTTCAAAAAGTAATCTCAGGACTATAGATAGCAGAAATGTGTGCATAGTTTTAGGCCATTGCTATCAGGATTAGTAAAACTGACTTTTTCTGGGTTATGTTCCTTCCTCCAGATTCAGATCCAGGAAGGGAGTCTCTGACTGACATCCTGGATCACATACTCATTCTCTTGATTTGAGTCCTCTCAAGGATATATCCAGTGAGGGGAGGCATGACTCTCAAAAGGCATTACTGGATGCTTCGTAGGCAAAAACAACAGATGTGCTTCTCCAAAGCATTTTCTCTTGCAAAAGCATGAAGTACCACATAAGCAGCATTTTTGTTGTACTGTACATAGTGATTCTTGAGCTTGACATTTTTGTTAATATTCATGACCATAATGCTGTGACCCTCACGGTTTTTAAAAAATATTCAGAACTTTGTTCTAGATTCTAATTAATGTGACCTAGAAGCGTGGAGCACCAGAAGATGCATTCTGTATCCGCTAACAGTATTAGAAGTGAAACAGGTCACATGTCTATCTCGAAACAAGAAAAGACAAGTTGTCTCCCAGAGTCGCACACAAAGCTTTTTAAAACATGAAGCTCATTTTTATTCAAATCAGCGTGGAATTGGGCACAGTGACTTTTTATAACTTGGAGGCTCTGACGTCAGTCCTGAACGAAAAAGAAGGTAGGAAACTGAGAGCGTGGGTGGCGAGGCGGCCTTTTTATCAGGCCCTGCCATTTTCAGATTACGACAGTGACAATGGGAGTGAAGAGAAATGTGTGGATTCAGATGATACTTTTGGAACTAGGGTTTGTATGATTCTACACTGTAAATGATCGTGAGGTAAGATTCTGAAGTCACTGTAGTGACAGTAGTGACTGCTTTTAAAACCATCTGACAACCGTAAAATCTCTCTGAGGGTGAGTAATATTATTCCAACTCTGCAAGTGCAAAATGAAGACCTTCATGTATT